TCTACTCAGATCGTCTTCCTATGGTGATACATACTATCCTTAAGTTTGAAGTTTTTACATCTCCAGTGGTTCTTGAGATATCATGATAACAATCTCAATGTATGGAATTTCATAAGTTGACCTCTATGACCCTTGACCTTTGACCTACGTGCTCCAAAATGTAATCAGATTGTTTTCCTATAGTGATACACACTATCACTAAGTTTGAAGTTTAAATCTCCAGTGGTTCTTGAGATATCATGATAACAATCTCAATGTATGGAATTTCATAAGTTGACCTCTGTGACCCTTGACCTTTGACATACGTGCTCCAAAATCTAATCAGATCGTCTTCCTATGGTGATACATACTATCCTTAAGTTTGAAGTTTAAATCTCAAATGGTTCTTGAGATATCGCGCTAACAAACTCAATACAAGGAATTTCATAAGTTGACCTCTGTGACCTGTGACCTTTGACCTACGTACTCCAAAATCTAATCAGATCGTCTTCCTATGGTGATAAATACTATTCCTGAGTCTTAAGTTTAAATCTTAAATGGTTCTTGAGATATTGTGATAACGGTCAAACGGGACGGACGTACGGACGGACAACCCGAAAACATGATGCCTCCGGCACCACCTTCGGTGGCGGAGGCATAAAAATAAGTTGTTCTTCATCATAATCATAATTATATACCTCACTTAAGAAATCCAGCCATCTGATTGGTCGAATTGCATTCATAAACTTCAACTGTTCCTGTAAAATTCTCGGTAACCATGCATAAAACATTTCAATATTTTTAATAACCATGGTTATTAAAAAAAGTTGGTCAGCGTCCATGGTTACCCCATAGGTTTACATGTTAAAAAATGGTTTGAGCGATGGAGGATGCCGTATGTGTGCGAAGGATTGGTCGGTAATTTCAATACAATTGAATCTCGATCGATCTTACCGACAATTTTATCTTGCATTGTTGACATGAAGACGAAAATAAACTTCCAAAAACAAAAAACAACATCTGCCGATAGATCTTGATCTAAGTTCGTGCCAATATGCATTGCAAAAGTAAAAGAAGAGTCCGTATATGGAGCTTTTGCGAAGCATTCATCACACGCGAAGCCGGTTTCAATCCATTTTAATGTATATATTGGAGAAAATTGCCTAGCATGTTAACGGCGGGCCATAGCCGAGTGGTCTAAGCGTTGGTTTTCGGTACACCTTTTGTTGTACGCAAGAGTTCGAATCCCGTCTTCGACAAAATTGATAAATATTTTTAATTTTTCAGTTTTTTTTTTTTTTGGCATATAAAAGTATTAATGACTGCTTTAATATTCGAGAAATAGTTGTTTTCATACGCTCTCGGGAAGGTTAGAATTGGGCTATTCCCCTCGGCAAGCCTCGGGGAATAGCACAATTCTAACCTTCCCTTGAGCGTAATAAAACAACTATTTCTCTCAAAGCAGTCATTAATACTATACTATAACGTAGAACCAGACCATTTTATCATATTCATTTTCTGAGTCCGAGTCAAGGATCGCTTCTCGAGCATCTTCAACGCTAAAAAGAGGCTTTCTCGGATGACGAGACATTTCAAGATACTATCTTAACTCAGTCCAACTAAGTAGGGATGTTACAAAAAAATAGAATCTCAAAATTCAAGCTCTTGCATGCCACCAGAGCTTGATAAGACCTTTTATTTGGTGCCTCATTCATCCTAATAGCCCCAGTAATAAGACAGTTATGCCAATTTTAAACGCCCAGAAATCATGTATTTAATTGCTTTGTTTTTAAAACAAAAGTTGTGATCTCAAATGTGACCGAAAGATTCTATTTCAAAATAAAAATCGCCAAAAAATGTATGTAAGTATGCAAAAACCGCTAATCGGCCCGTCATTTTTGCATTACATTTTCACATTCCTTCTCCCCAAAAACATATTTGGGGCCTGTCACCACGAAATGAGTCCAGTTGGTCAAAAATTTTATTCCTGTTTTTAAGTATTATATGAATCTACATTAAGTAAGCTTTAAATTAAGGGGTCACACATTAAAATTGATAAATTATATCCAGAAATATGAACAAAAACCTAATTGGACTTTATAAACAATGGGATTACCCAGTTTTGAGATTAGGTGTAAAGTTAATGATGCGTAACATAGCCTATATTATTTGCCAAAAAATGTTAGGAGATATTTTTGTGACCTAAGCTCTGGGGACATAAACTACAAGACATTAAAAAGTCGATTTTTGGAAAAATCTTAAATGCGGTAGGTGGGTCAATTTTCAGTACATACACACTATACATCGCTATTACTACGATTGAGCCTAATGCGACACTGGACTCATTTCGTGGTGACTGGCCCCATTTCTCATCCATAAATTTTGCTGAAATTTCACCAAAAGCAAATTCACATGTTAACCAATCATCCTAAATCTAGATACCTTTTTTCTCATCCTGAATGCAGGATCAGGGTTCAGAATGGCACTAAACACGGCTCTTATGAAACGTGCAGCAAAACCACTGCATGCTTGCTGTGAGGAAGGTATTATTAGACCCATTACACTATAAGGGGATTCACTAGGTACAGACAGGAATTGGGTTAAAACACACATAGGAGCATCACTATCCTGGCTGTGTAGTAAAAGCTGTGCTTTTGATTCTCAACATTTTAAACACCACTGTACAAAACTCAACTGATTTCACTCAAAATCAGTACTTTAGTGACAATTGATGAAACCTAAATAGCAGTAAAATACATTTATTTCAACTTACTAATGTTAAAAAGAATAATTTAAAAATTCAAATTGTAAGTCTAGTGTCAAACTTTGCTTACAGCTGCATCGACACGATTGTGTAGAGTCTATGTGATATTGTGTGGTGTGTGTATTTGTGTATAGACTTCTAGGTCCCTGCCTCACACCATGTATGCAGTGCTAGAGGTCAATACGCTTTAGCATTGACTCTCTTAGACAGAAATAACCGTCTGATATGGGTCATTTCTTTAATAAAACTGACATTTGTTGACATTCCCCATATACAGACGGTAACCCAGAGCAGAGCTGCCAACCTCCAGAACAGAAAATCAGTAATCACAAGGCTCAAAATCAGTAATTTGGGGTATAAATCAGTAATTTCTTATGCGGCGCTATGAATCTAAAAAAACGACACGCCAACACTGCGCGGACGCATGATTATCTGAAATTTTTGGTGATTTTACTCACACAAAGATGTTAAGTATTGAATTTCAGGTCATCACAACACAGTTTATCATGAAAAATGGCTCCTATTCACAGCACTCGCTACGATAAATCATATTTAATTCATTAAAAAAAAAAAAAAAAAAAAAAAAAAATCTTTTTTTTTTTTTTTTTTTTAAATCCGTAATTTGAGACAACATTCCGTAATGGTCGTTAATTTCCGTACCAATTACGGGAAATCCGTACTAGTTGGCAGCTCTGCCAGAGGTCTCGCACCGAGGAGGTAATCTGGCCAATCCAGCTGCCACTTATGGAATTTGAGCTTTCTCCCCCGATTTTCACTATTTAGATCTAATTTTCTGATTTATAAAGCAGATGTAAATTAGGTCTATGTAGAGTCTATTGTACTCCTATTTACACTAAATAATAATGATTGACCTATTATACAAATGCGAAATTTATTGACTTACTTATATGATTTATCCAATTTTTTTCTCCGAAACGTGAAATGTACCGTTCATCCATTCAAACTAGTAATTTATGACATCACCCGGCCGATATATTTCCGGGTCAACCTACCAAAACATAGCGAATGGCCAATCAGAGCACTCGTTTGGTATTGGGTTTATGAATATTCATATATCACTTGGTTAACTCGTACGTAGCTATTGGACGTTCGAAAAGAAAAAAATGAATATTCATTAATTTAAACCAGGATGGATGACAACGAATCATGTCGACTACGAAACTTTCTCGGATTAATCATTAATTTTAGGATCTAAATGAGCAAGCTATCGTAAGTCAAAGCCATATTTGTTTGTTAATTTTTATATTTTTATAAGCCTACTGTAATATTGCAGCAAAAGTGCATTTATGAGGATGTAAAGAGTGAAAATCTTGTTGCATATCTCATTCATAGGCCGTACTTCAGTCTATGTAGATCTATAGAGGCGGTCAGTGGAGCCAGATGCAATCTCAGCGGAACCACCGTCGATATCAGAGACTGAAGCTTTCGGTCTATGACTCTCTATGCTTTGCTGGAGTGGGTTAAAACACCTTTAATAAGGCGACAACGGCCTTAGAAACAACAATCAGAATCATACAGACAACAGTCCATTTTCTAGTCTCCCGATCATATCGGTATCGGTTATAACGATATCAATCCCTATAGATCTAGACTCTAGACTTACAATTTGAATTTTTTAATTTTCCTTTTTAACATCAGTAAGTTTTAAAAAAATGTATTTTACTGCTATTTAGGTGTCATCAATTGTCACTAAAGTTTTATACAGTGCCAGCGCCATGCAGTGGTGTTTCATGTTTGAAATGTTGAGAATCAAAAGCACAGCTTTTACACAGCCAGGTAGTGATGCTCGTATGTGTGCAGCAAAACAAACTGCCGAAAACATAATCATAGAAAGTTTAGTAGATCTAGATCTATGAAAGATAGACAGAAATAACCATCTGATTTGGGTCATTTCTTTAATAAAACTGACATTTGTTGACATTCCCCAATAGTAATACAGATGGTAACCTAACTCCGGGAAGCTCCAACACCGGCGCCGCAGGCGTGTTGGAGCTTCCCGGAGTTATGCCGAACCGAACCATTTGTTCCACTAGTACGGCATAGGCCGTACTTCAGTCTATGTATAGAGGCGGTCAGTGGAGCCAGATGCAATCTCAGCGGAACCACCGTCGATATCAGAGACTGAAGCTTTCGGTCTAGAATCTAGGCCTATATGAAAGATAACAATGTCATTCTTCTCATCCAATAGATATCATGATTAGGCCTAGGTCTAAAACACAAGCAAAAGGTTTCCTACCTTACGACCGATGAAAAGCTCCCTTGAAGTACGCTGAAGTTGAAAATAGCTTTGGATTTCAGAATTGCGAATCTTGCAGGAGCAAAGAAATCTTATGACCTGCTTCAATGAAGATACAAGTCGAAAGAGATCGTATCTGTTCACTCACATTTCGTCCGCTGTTTCCGACAAAGTCCTGACTCTCGTACGTAATGTAACAACGGTACGCTACAACACGTGAGCGAATTGGGTAATTCCCTTTCCCCCCCCCCCCCCCCCCCCCCCCCCCCCCCCCCCCCCTCCGGAGAATTTGGATGAGCAGGGCATCCACCGCCCTAATTGGTCTATCCATCCCTCCAAGCCACGTCAAGTAAACGTGCGCGAATTTTGAATCACGTTCTCCTCAAGACTCACGCGCGGAGGGATATGGATGGAAAAGCGTAACCATAGAGATATATACTTAATAACCTAGTATATATCTCTATGTTAATAACACAGTATATATCTCTATGAGCGTAACCCACTGATCTCTACGGAAAAAGATCAGTGGGCGTAACCCAGCCATAGTTAGCCTAGGGGTTGTTGTTGTTGTTGGTAAATGTTTTGTGGCGTTCATTCAGTATTGAATATAGGTCTATACGCCATAAATATCTTCAATTTTATAAGAAAATCAGTTATAGTCTTCATAAGAAAACTGAGAATAAAGATTTGTAATGAAATAATTAATTAATAAGTAACGCAATTTATTAGGAGTCTTTGGATGGTTTGCAACTTCGTGTTTCTGCTTTTTTTAAAGTTTAATCTGGTCAGCCCGGTTTCGATTGCATGGAAACTAGCTTTGCCCGATTTGTGAAACAGGCTTCTCGGCTACTCGGCGTCCGTGCGCATTGATCTTTTCATTTTGTAACGCACGGTGCCTAGACCACTCAGAAACACAGAAACACTAAATTGAGACACATCGTACAGAGGCGCTCCTGAAACCGAATTTCCAATCCATTCAAGTAAATTGTTATACACAGAGGCGGCGGACCCGGGGGGCAGGGGGGCACAGTGCCCACCTCCCACTTTTTCAAGTACCCAAAAAGTGCCCCTTTTTCCATGGGAAAAGTGCCCCTTTAACATTGTAAGAAGCGCCCCTTTTTACATAAAAAGTGCCCCTATTACTTTGATATGTGTCCCTGTTAATTTTTTTAAAAGTGCCCCCTCTCCTTCCATCTTTGATATATGCCCCTTTTATTTTGACACGTACCTCTCTTTCCAGACAAGTTCCCAGTTTCCTTTGCAATAAGTGTCCATTTTCCATTCTCATAATTGCCCTTTTTAATCTCTAGTTAGTGCCTCTTTTCGGATACGGGAAGCGCCCCTTTTCACTTTTGTTTAGCGCCTCCTTCACCTCTGACAATTACCCTATTCAAATCTTAGAGGTGCCCCTTTTACTTTGACATGTGCCCTCTTTTCTTTCTAATAAGTGCCCCTTTTCCTTATGATAAGTGCCCCCATTTAACAAAGAGCCCTTCGCCTTTTCATAAATGCCCCTTTTCACCTATGAAAATAGTCCTTTTTCATTCTCCTTCTAGTGCTCCTTTTCATGTCTGGTAAATGACCCTATTCAATTCTGAGAGACAATCGTTTTATTTTGACAAGTGCCCCCTTTCCTCCTGATAAGTGCTCTTTTCATCTCTAATAACACCCCCTTTTATTTTGACACGTGCCCCTTTTCCTTCCTAATAAAGGCTCTTTTTCCTTCATAATTTCCGCTTTTCATAAAAGCCCCCTTTCACCTCCAATAAATGCCCTATCAAAATCTGATCGGTGCTCCTTTCCTTTCAACAAAATACATTTCCCTTTATTATTAGTGCCCCCTTTTCATTCTCATAAGTGCCTCTTTCATATATGGTGTTTGCCCTTTTTCAGGTGCGATAAGTGCCCCTTTTCACCTCTGATAATTAACCTTTTTTAACAATGATACGTGCCCCTTTTCCTTTCTTATGAGGAATCTATCCCTTTTTCATAAATGCCCCCATCAAAATCTGATGGTTGCCTCTTTTCCGTCGACAAATGCCCAATTTCCATTCTCATCAGTGCCTTTTCATCCCTGGTGAGTGCCCCATTTTCACCTCTGATAATAACCCTTTGTACTTTGGCACGTGCTCCTTTTATTTTCTAATAAGTGTCCCTTCGATAATTAGTGTCCCCCTTTCCTCACATCATTAAATGTGCCCCTAATTTGAAGCGACTAAGAGCAATATCTCCCAAAGCTCGCTCGCTACGCTCGCTCACATTTATAGATGTTATAATTATGTTACTTATCAAAGGTCTTTTCGGTTTGCTGTTATGAAAATGCAGGCGCGGATTCAGGATTTCTTAGGGGGGGGGGCCCAACTTTTTTTTTTTTTGCTCCCGAAAATTTGAAAATCGCGCCGGCCGAAAAGTCGCTCAGTGGGGGGGGGGGGGGGGGGGGGGGGGTGGGTGGGTACAGAGCACAATTTCTTTTTTTTTTCTTTTTTTTTTTTTTTTTTTGCTCCCAAAAATTTGAAAAACGCGCCGGCCAAAAATTCGCTCAATGGGGGGGGGGGGTAGTGAGCACATTTTTTTTTTTTTTTGATCCTCAAAAAAATTTCGATTTGCACCCCCCCCCCCCCCCCCTTGAGCGCCAGGGGGGGGGGGGCCCAACCCCCAAAAAAGGTAAAAATCACGTGATTTTACATGATTTTTTTCTCAAGGGGGGGGGCCCGGGCCCCCCGGGCCCCCTGGATCCGCCACTGTGAAAATGTGCTTATTTATAACCCGATGAGGATTGGTTTTTTTTCCTCTTTATAAGATGTAGTTTTCGCACTGTGACCTCACAAATCTTATATTTTTCCTCGCTCGCAAATGATTTTTTCGACCATCACACCCAACTGCAAGGTATGATGCTTTAAAAAGCAATATCTTATACGATGTATAAAGAGAAACAAATATTGAAATCATCCCTGATAATGTAATCAAATTTTAGGGGTATATACTGTGAGGTGGTCGAGAACTCGAAATGCAATGACAGACAGATCCTGTGAGAGGGCCAAGCAAAGAGTCTTTATTAGTAACAGACACATTACATATCACTAATGCCGATAATCATGGAGATCATGCATTCCCCAAAACATGTCATGTTATCAAATATTAAACGAGTAAATTGGCCCTTTAAAAACCAATTGCCACAGTACAATGTAGCTGAAACTCTCAACATTAACACAGGTAAATACCTGACCCAAATACTTAAACAACTCGAAGTAACAGTCAATATAAACCTCATATAGAGCAACACATTCATATATTTATCTTCCATACTTTTCTTACTTCCAAACAAACTCCAATAATCTCCTGGTCTAATCCTAAACATTGCTCTTACTCCTATTATTCCATCTCAATTTGACAAGTAACAATATTCTTTTATAGCAATCTGCAAAATAAGAAATAAGGTTTATAATGATAGAGGGCGCTAGAAACCCTCGAATGGCTACATAGTGTGTCATTATGTTCGTGAGGAAGTAAGACGTACTTTCTCGGGCCTCTCCCATCATGACTTCTCAAAGAGGAAAGGCCACATCGCAACGGGCTAGGGCGGCAACGCCGCCCAGCCCCGACGTGATACCATCCATACGTATACTCCTTAATGATCAGTGGGATAGAATAGAGAGCAGATTGGACCTTCTGGAAGAAATTTTTGGACAGAGGATGAGAAATTTAGAAGTAACGATAAATGGATTACAGGAGGCTGCTGAATTTCAAAGCAAAGAAGTACAGGAAGCGAAGGGAAAAGTGGACCGCGTAGAGAAGGAGGTAAGTTTAAAGGAAAAACTACTTCAGGATGAGATTGACAAGTTAAGTGCTTATGTAGCCAGGGAGAACTTGATTTATACTGGAATCCCAGAGGAGCAGAATGAGAATGTTAAGCAGGTCCTTCGGGATCTGCATGTTGAACAGCTTCAGATTCCCGTCGAACTTGCCGACAAGATAGAATACCAGCGAGTATATATCGCCTTTTCGGGAATGCTGAGGCGAGAGGGATACCAAGAGCCATCAAAGCCCGTTTCGTGAGCCGTGAGGTACGCGGATGTGTTCGTGCAGCAACATGCTAAAAACTTAAAAGAAACAACCATGTATATATCCGAAGATATGCCAAAGAGAGTACGAGAGGCGCGGCAACCTCAAATTGCTGCTTTGAAAGCCGCGAGACGAGTCGGGAAGTTAGCCTTTTTCTCGCGGGCTGATCCCGCAAAACTTTTTATCGACAAAGTGTATATGCCTCCAAATCAGCAAGAAGCCTTTGTCCGTTAGATGCAAGGGAATTTCGAACGATTGGAAAAATGAGCTATTCAAGCTCTGCTTTAATTTCGTGGGAAATCATAAGGTGAAGCTCTATAAAGTGTGCTTGAATTTGCAAACATCCGCAAACATATAGGAGCCATGTGTATGATTTTCATCCAGTCCTGTGATTGGGACAAGGTGAGGCAAACATCATGAGCGGTAATCTTTAAAGAAGGGACATAACTCCAGCTGTTGAGGACTGTATGGTTCGTCAATAACCAAGAGGAGGAGCAGGGAACAGATACTACAAACGATAAGAGTAACACCGCTGGATGAGAAACGATGGAGGTAAATGTATACCAGAAAAAAAAAGAAAAAAATAAGAATAAGCATGATAAAGAACTGTTAGAAAATAAAACTTTAAAGAGACAAGTGACTAAGAAAACACGATGAGGTATTGCCATGACTTTAACATGTTTAAAGGAAGTGTTTTTTGTTTATGCAAGCTATGCTTTAATTTCATGGGAAATCACAAGGAAAAATGAGCTATTCAATTAGCTCTGCTATAATTTCATGGGAAATCATAAGGTGAAGCTTTATAAAGTAGGGTGGAATTTGCAAACATAGTAGCCGAGTGAAGGAAAATGAAAGAAAAGAGGGAGAGGAAATCCTTCTTTCCTTTTTTTGCCAAATATGCTATTTTGTTTACATGTAAGGTATTGACCCTTCCTCTGCACTCGGTATGTTTTTACTGGGTAAACTGATACTAGCATGTTTCTGAGTCTTTCTTTTTTTTTTTTTTTTATCTTGGAAATTCTTGTGTCAATTGTCCGTCTGGGGTAAAAGGAGGAAATGAAAAGCAAGTTTTTTTTTTTTTTTTTTTTTTTTTTTTTTTTTTTTTTTTTTTTTTTTTTTATATCTGCCGGTATATAGTTTGTTTGGTAACTTCAATTTGAGGGAATGTCAACT